TGGTAGCACTGCCATTCTCCGAATCGCAAGGGCAACTGGGGGAATCGAAATCCCAAGCACATCGGCGACTCGAATCCCTCGAACGCAAGCTGCAACGCAATCCAGCATTGAAGGAAGCGTACCACGCCGTAATGAACGAGTACATTGACCACGGACACATGGTTCAGGTAGCCAAAGACGACGTTACGACAAGTGGGTATTACCTGCCGCACCACGGGGTAACGAAAACAACCAGCGAAACCACTAAACTGAGAGTGGTATTCGACGGCTCCGCGGCCACGAGCACCGGATTATCGCTGAACGACACTCTTCACGTCGGACCAAAAATTCAAGACGACCTGCTGTACATTCTTCTTCGTTTCCGAATACATCGGTACGTTATCACCGAGGATATCGAGAAGATGTACAGGCAGTTCCTCGTCCGAGAAGACGACAGACGATATCAACGGGTCCTCTGGCGCGATGCATCGGGCGAAATTAAAACGTTCGAATTGCAGACGGTGACGTTCGGACTATCGGCCGCCCCGTACCTGGCGATTCGCTGTCTGACTCAATTGGCCCAGGACGAAGGCCATCGGTTTCCTCAAGCGGCAAAAATCTTACAGCGAGACTTCTACGTAGACGATGCGCTGACCGGAGCATCAACGATCAGAGAAGCTCGCGCCATCCGAGAGGAGCTAACCCAGCTGCTAACTTTAGCGGGCCTAAATATACGGCAATGGGCAGCCAATCAGAAAACAATTCTCGAGGGTCTACCGGAGCAAGACGTTAACAAGAAATTACATCTTGGAGAATCATCCACGCCGAAGACTCTGGGAATTGTTTGGAATTCCAAAAACGATTCCATTACGTATGAAGTGCAGATACGACCTGCCCCATCACGCGTAACCAAGCGCATCATTACGTCGGAAATTGCAAGAATTTACGATCCCCTTGGCCTCCTAGGACCCGTCATCAGCGCCGCCAAGATGCTGCTCCAAAAAATCTGGACCATCAAGGTGGACTGGGATGAATCTCTGCCCATGGACATCCACTCGGAATGGATCCAGTACTACAAGCAACTACCGATGCTAAATAACGTCGTGTTTCCCAGGAACACCATTCCTCATGCGTCGACGATAACGGAGTTGCACGGGTTCTGCGATGCCAGCGAGAGGGCTTACGGAGCGTGCGCGTACGTTCGCTCAACCGACAAACGCGGGCAAACACACGTGCAACTCTTGTTTGCAAAATCAAAGGTCGCACCGCTCAAGACGCAGTCGATTCCGAGACTCGAACTTTGTGGGGCTTTGCTACTCACGAACCTAATAGCTACGGCCAAGAAAGCATTGCACGTGGAGATCGACCGTGTAGTTCTCTGAGCGGACTCTACCATAGTGCTGCACTGGCTACAAACGTCTCCACACACGCTAAAAACGTTCGTAGCAAACAGGGTCTCGGAAATCCAGGAAAAGACAAACGGCGCGGACTGGCGCCACGTTCCCACATCAGACAACCCCGCGGATCTCATTTCGCGCGGACAGCATC